TTGTAAAGATGATGTGGGAGACAGTGTCGAAAGCCTTGCTGAAGTCAAGGTAGACAATATCCACTGCCCTCCCCTCATCCATCCATCCAGTCACACCATCACAGAAGGCTATCAGATTAGCCAGACATGGCTTTCCCTTGGTGAATCCATGTTGACTACTTCTGATAACCTTCTTTTCTTCCAGATGCTTGGAGATGACGCCCAGAGCAAGCTATTCTATCATCTTTCCAGGGATGGAGGTGAGGCTGACCAGCCTGTAGTTTCCCGGGTCATCCTTCTGGACCTTTTTGAAGACTGGAGTGACATTGGCTTTCCTCCAGTCCTCAGGCACCTCACCTGTTCTCCAGGACCTTTCAAAGATGATGGAGAGCAGCCCAGCAATGACTTCCCCCAGCTCCCTCAGCACTCGAGGGTGCATCCCATCAGGGCCCATGGATTTGTGGGTATCCAGTTTACTTAACTGATCTCTAATTTGTTCCTCTGCTTGGTCAGTGACCTGCTGCAGCACATAGACATACATAAGTCTATGGGACTGGATGGAATCCACCAAAGAGTTCTGAGAGAGCTGGCAGAGGTGCTCACCAGGCCTCTTTCCATCATTTTCCAACAGTCCTGGCTGACTGGGGAGGTCCCAGCAGATTGGAAACTAGCCAATGTGACACCCATCTACAAGAAGGGCCGGAAGGAGGATCTGGGAAGCTACAGGCCTGTATGTTTGACTTCAGTGCTGGAGAAGCTGATGGAGCAGGTCATCTGAATATGAGCCGGCAGTGTGTCCAGGTGGCCAAGAAGGCCAACAGCATCCTAGTCTGTATCAGGAATAGTGTGGTGAGCAGGACTAGGGAAGTGATCCTCCCCCTGTCCTTGGCACTGGTGAGGCCCCACCTCGAGTACTGTGTTCAGTTTTGGGCCCCTCACTACAAGAAGGCTGTTGAGGTGTTGGAGCGTGTCCAGAGAAGGGCTGCAAAGCTGGTGAGGGGTCTGGAGGACAAGTCTTATGAGGAACGACTGAGGGAACTGGGGTTGGTTAGCCTGGAGAAGAGGAGGCTGAGGGGAGACCTTATCACTCTCTACAACTACCTGAAAGGAGATTGTAGAGAGGTGGGGTATGACCTCTTCTCCCTGGTGACAAGTGATAGAATGAGAGCAAATGGGTTCACGTTATGTCACATAAGGTTTAGATTAGATATTAGGAAACATTTTTTTCACTGAAAGGGTTATTAAACATTGGAATAGGCTGCCCAGGGAGGCGGTGGATTTGCCATCCCTGGAGGCCTTTAAAAAATGGGTAGATGTGGTACTTGGGGACATGGTTTAGAAGTGGTTTTGTCAGGGTAGGTTAGTGGCTGGACTTGATGAACTTAAAGGTCGCTTCCAACCTCGACAATTCTATGATTCTCTCCTGAGTACTGTCATGCAGTATGCATAGGACAACCAGATGATCCGGCCCAGTCAACATGGGTTTGTGAAAGGCAGGTCCTGCTTGACTAACCTGATTTCCTTCTTACACCATGGTCACCTGCTTAGTGGATGAGGGAAAAGCTGTTGGATGTTGTCTACCTGGACTTTAGTAAAGCCTTTGACACCCTTTCCCACAGCATTCACCTGGAGAAACTGGCCGTTTATGGCTTGGATGGGCATACGCTTTGCTGGGTTAAAAAAATGGATGCAAGGCCAGAGAGTGGTGGTGAATGGAGTTAATTCCAGTTGGCAGCTGGTC